GAGGTAAAATTCCTCCCTATTAGTAACCCAACTAATTAAAATCATCAATCATCATCATAGTCACAATAATCGTCCCATTCATCATAAACATGTAGACTTATGTCCGCATCATTGGCTTATTTATTTTCCACAAACAGAAACACAAATATATAGCTATAATAACACAGAACACAGGCTGGATTTATATTTAAAAACATGAAAACTTACATGGTAAAAATTCGGAACGAGTCTTATTTTCAGGAATCAGGCGTTAAAACCTTGTAAACATGTTTAGCGAAATTTTAGTAAAACAAAACCGAAACATCCCACAGGTGAGCTCGAGCTTCCAAAAATAAGCAATATTTGGCGCCTCCTACCCAGGGGCTGTGAAAGTTTGTCCACCCCACTCAAAACTGCAGTTTGTGTCCCTTTTTTCTTGACAAGAAATGCACTTGTTAAGATATCTCTTTATGAGCACATCAAACGGGAGAACTTTCAGATGCGCACTTCAGCTTCACCTCAGTGTCAGGCGCGAGCCACACGAGCTTCAGTGGAACAGCTGTGAACTGCGGTCTGATCAGATGTTGTTAGACTATATGTCAGTAAAACACACTTTCCTGCATGCATGCATACCTAGTTCTGTCGTCAGCCAAGTCATGAAATTACCAAAAAGGCGATTAAAGCTGCAAACTGTGCATTTACACGCAGCACACAAGAACGTCTCTCAAATGCACTAAAATATATTCAGCAATTCGAGATCCCAATATAAGGCACAAGCTGATATGCATATTTTATTTGTAATTTAATGCACAAATAAATGTGAGCCTAGTTATCTGCATGTCTAATCCATGAGGATGCAATGATGGAGAACAAGCTGTTGAGAACCAGAACCAAGCTGACTGAGCAAGCTCAACTTTAGCAGTTAATATGAGGTGTGGAATAAGACAAAATGGTCAAATTCACTCAGTATTACTTGATCTAATTCACAAATATCTCAATTACAGTTAAGTAGGAAATAATTGTACTCAGTTGTGTTTTAGGCACTAAAACAGTCCAGTACATTATAGTCAAACACATTTTTATATTGAAATAATGAAGATTTCTGTGCCACCTCAGACTGGTTGCTGGCCCCTCCCTGGCCACCCCTATGAAAACATCCTGGCTCTGCCACTGCTCCTAACACTGCAGAACACAAGACCCAGGGGGCGTGGTTGGATCTGATTTTTATATTTATATATATATATATATATATATATATATATATATATATATATAGGTGTAGTGTCTTCATCATCTACTAGAGAGTTTATCCTTTCGTCTGTTTAATAGAGCATTTGCATTATTCTTTGTAAATCTGCTTTACAAAACAAGATAAACCACTTCTTTGAGAAACATTTTTTGTTGGTATTGTTTTGCTTGTTTTTATTTTTGTATGAATTAAATATGCTTTACTATATTTTACTATGTTCAGAAAAATAATATTATAGTGAAACATGAAGAGGATGTTTAAATAGTTTGCATCTGCTGAAACACTTACTAAACAGCCTTTATGTGAAGCTGCATCAGATTGAGACACAATCAGAGCTGAAATCTGCTCAAACTGTTGAGATCAGACTGAAATCATCAGAGATCTTGTTCAGAATAAACTCCAGCCGCACTGAACATCATGCAGCCGTATGTGATACTCAACAGCCAGAAGCAGCACGATGTTTGATGGACTTTCCCTTCTTATTATCAGTCCTCCTTATCACCTGGCTGTGAATGTACAGTTTCTGATCATTACATATATGCAAATGTGGGTATAGCCATATATTAATGTATTGAGACAGTGGCAGATAGTCTTAAGAATTAGTCATCTCAGTTGTTCTTCAAGACTGGTCACAACACTTAAGTACTTACACCTGGGCTAACCACTAGTTGGTCAGACCAGTCTTTACATGGTGACTGTCTGTGTCTATGCAACTGGTCTCTGGTTTTGTGCAGTCAGCAACTGTTTTTGCAGCTTAGTTTTGTAGATTTTTCAAGTTACCTATTACATTCATATGTGCATGATTTAGTAAATAGGCCTACTTCACAAAATTCACAGTAATTGCTTCACATTCCTGTCCAGTTGGTGGTAAATTCCCATTTTAAGCTGGTTTGCCAACCGCCGTAAAACATCTGAAGAAGAAGAAGGTGAGTTCGCTGCATCATCAGTTCACTCCACTTCTTGCCTGTGTTCAGTGGTTTATACGTGCTGATGGCTCAATATATCCTCCATTTTTACAATGTTAGTTTTTGTGTTTTCAAATGTAAACCCAGCTTGTGTGTTATTATACCAATAGTTGTGTTTATGTTTGTGGAAAACTAAACCTGCTAGTGATGCCAAGGAAATTAGTCAACATTAGTCAAAGAAAAATAATTTATAAGACTGTTGTGTACTGGTTCTTTTGGTTTGACTGATCATTTTGAGTCGGAGGATTACACTGAAATCATTTATAAAAGCCAAAGTTTTTCATGCTGGCTCTGAATTTCAAGTATATATCGCTGTAGCTTCGAGTCTTATAATTGTTTTCTCAAGACGCACACATGTCCTGTCAAGCATGTTCAGTCGAGGCTATGATCTGCGTCAGAGAATAAATAAGATATTGTGTTTCTTCTAAATGCCTCTCTGAGTGATCATTTTACATCCAGCACGTCCTTTGTCATCTTCTGTGTGTGTGGTGATTTCAGGTAATTGTAAATCAGGATTTGACTTGGCTTGGCTTGGAAGTGACTGTTGAAGACACATTATCACACAGAAGGATAAAAAGAACTGACACTAAGAATGAAAATAAGACCAATTAGCGTAATGAATATGCTAATTAGCGTAGGCTATGACTATATGTACCACTCAGTGTCTATGGTGTTTAAACTAATATCCAAAATCTCTCCGTCCTCAAATGTACATGTGAGTGTGACGCTGCCTCCCTTTTCTCCTGTACACAAGTCACACTGAGTCCATGCAAAGCAGACGTCTTGAAATGTCGTTTAATATCCAGATTAGTCTCCAACATGGATTTTCCAATGGCTGATTTTATCTAAATAAGTTACATTTGGTTCCCCAATACTTGCTTATGTCCTTGATTAATGACACCATTATAATGATGATCGAGGATAAATGTCTGTGTTTCTCCTCAGAAGAGATTTCTGTGAACATCAGTGAGGATCTGAGGATCTGAATGTTCTGTTGCTAGATGCTGATGAAGTGCAGTGGTTGTTTTAAAATGTTGTTGTTTTTTTTAAGTGGACAGCTGAGGTTTAGTCACCATTATTTGAACATCATATTGATGCTAAACTGCATGACTAACCTTTCAATATTCTTCACAGAATCAAAAGGAAAACTGGACAACACAGATGAAGCAAATGTGTTTGCTTTACAAAATCTTTAAACAGTGAATTAAAAAAAAATAAAAAAAAATAATCTCTTCCAACTTTTTCCTGTCACCTGTAGTCTGTTGGATTTCACCATTTGTACTGACATTTGCACTGGTTTTGATGTTTTTTTATCTGACTGCTATCTGTGCATTGCACACACGTCAGCCCAGAGGTTATTCACAGCGTGACGCCAGAAGGAAAAAAGGGGGTTAAGTAGAGGAGATGGGGGCAAAATTTCTTCTGAATTTGAAGACACAAGACTGAGGTATTACTTATTAGACAAAAAACCTGCACAGAATCTCTTAGAGTATTCGCAACTAGAAGGATGTACTGTTATGTCCTCATCTGCAGTTAAAGGCCTGGGTGTTATATTAGACAGCAACTTATCTTTCTAAAATCCTATTTCATATGTTACAAAAACAGCCTTCTTCCACCTCAGAAACATTGCTGAGCTACGGAACATGTTATCTGTTTCTGACGCAGAAAAGCTAGCATTCATGACTTGATCTCGACTAGATTACTGTAATGCACTGCTAGCTGCTTGTCCTGCATCTTCAATAAACAAGCTACAGGTAGTCCAAAATGCAGCGGCTAGAGTCCTTACCAGGTCAAGAAAATATGATCATATTACCCCAATTTTATCATCTCTACACTGGTTACCTGGTTATTGCTACTGACCTATAAGGCACTAAATGGTTTAGCTCCTGTATATTTAACTGATCTTCTTATGCCCTATAATCCATCACGCTATTTAAGTCACAAACCTCTGGACTTTTAGTAGTGCCTAGGATATCTAAGTCCACTAAAGGAGGGAGAGCATTTTCTCATCTGGCTCCTAAACTCTGGAATAGTGTTCCTGATGATGTCCGGGGCTCAAACACACTCGCTCTGTTTAGATCCTTTAACAGTTGTTCTAAAAATAGTAAAGTATTCATAATATAAACAAAAAACATGCATATCTGTGCCAAAATGTACATTTGTATATTTTGTACATTTTTTCTCTTTAAATATATGTTTATAGTTATATGTTGCTTTTGATCATTTAATTGGGGATTTGCATTATTCTTTGTAAATCTGCTGTGAGAGTATATATTAAACTATTTTTGTTAGAAACATTGGTGTTGTTTTGTTGGTTTGTATTTTTTTTTTGTATGAATTCAATATTTTTACTATTTTCTTTTACTAAGTTCAGAAAAATAATACTTTATTGATAATATTATTATAAAATATGTAGAGGATGTTTAATTAGTTTATCAGACTAAACAGCCTTTATGTGAAGCTGCATGAGATTGAGACACAATCAGAGCTGAAATCTGCTCAAACTGTTGAGATCAGACTGAAATCATCAGAGATCTTGTTCAGAATAAACTCCAGCTGACTGTATCTGGTCTCACACACTGTTTTTTAGCCAAATGTCTATCTATGTAAGATATTAGATCTCACATCTTCTGACAGCTCAATCAGCTTTGATAGAATAACCAGCAGAGGGCAATAAACACCAATCACACTCCTCCTTTAGTGGGAGGAGCCAATCATACTCCTCCTTTAGTGGGAGGAGCCAATCATACTCCTCCTTTAATGGGAGGAGCCAACCATACTCCTCCTTTAGTGGGAGGAGCCAATCATACTCCTCTGAAAGACTCTGACCTGTGTGTGGGAATTATACTTGTGGTTTTGTTTTTAGTCATATCTCGCTAAACAAGCAGTGGTTTATGAAATTTGCAGCCAGAATATAAAACTCGTGCAGAACTTTTACAATGTAATTTTTTTTTATCCTTTTAAATATAAAGCTTGTGTGTTTTTGTCTCATTATACCAATAGTTGTGTTTATTTGTGAAATAGGGTTGCCTTATAACCTGCTAATGATGTTAAGGAAATTTCAACATGTTTATCATTATGCAGATGATTATGATAATGGGTTTTATTAGTGGGGTTATTAATGTAGTTATTAAATTGTTCTACACTGATTACTTAATGCAATCAAACGATTTCTACGTTGATGTGTGGATTGTTTGGTTACTCTGTCTGTTAGTGTCCATTGGGCTTTTGGGTTTGACGGATCATGTTGACTCAGATGATTAAGAAATACGCACACACACACACACACACACACACCCTCTCTCTCACACACACATGTTGTGTTTCCATGTTTTATGGAGACATTCCATAGGCGTAATGGTTTTTATACTGTACAAACTGTATGTGCTATTGCCCTACACCAACCCTACCCCTAAACCTACCCCTCACAGGAAACTTTCTGCATTTTTACTTTCTCAAAAAAACTAATTCTGTATGATTTATAAGCTTGTTTCCTCATGGGGACCTCAAAAATGTCCCCACAAGGTCAAAATTTACTAGTATTACTATCCTTGTGGGGACATTTGGTCCCCATAACGTGATAAATACCAGGTACACACGCACACACACACACAGCACACACTCACACACACATACTGATAATATTTATAAAACCAAAGATTCAGATTTCAAAGATGCAGTTTGATGTTTCTTATTAGACATTTTTATCATGTAAGATCCACATGTGTTAAAAATTTAAATAAAACTGATACTGAGGGGGGGGGGATGGGCGAGGGGAATTGTATCACACCAAACAACTTTGGGTGCAATGTGCAGTTTGTCCTGTGAAAAATTACCAGCAGAGCCAGATGTTTTTTAAGTAAGATATTAATTTCATAGTGTAAACCGCTTCAGTGATTTTAATGGGACCCATCAAAACCGCTTCAGTGATTTTGATGGGAGTTTATGAGAGTGCTTGAACTCTTGACTAGACTGAAGTCAGTGATATTGTTTTTGATAATGTAAATGTTCTTTGCTCTCTTTCTGTACCATAAAAGTGTTATAATTTGTAACTTACAATGTTTTTATTAAATTTACATTAAATACAAAGTCAGTCGTATTAAAAATATTCCATGGCATGACACTCATATGGTCCTAAAAAGAGGGTTTTTTGCATAGTTAATAGATAACACTATTATTGCCCATCGCCCATTATAGATCAACTAACATAATCTATAAAGGTGCAAAATGCATTTACTTACACATATTGGAGAATCGAGAAATTTCATGACATAGTTAAGAAGTTTGGGAATATTCCCAAAATATACCTCCCCCCCCC